TAAACCCTAAACCCTGTACTAGAATCCCGGAGCAAGGACTGAGTTTGTTTGGGGGGGGGGGGGGAACATCCCAAGATCCTTCCGTCCTGTAGAGCCGGGGTTGACGGCCCTCGCGTGCCGCGCACATGCCACACCCGCATCGTCGATTGTCGTGAGCTGCTCCCAACCGTTAGGGTTTAGGGTTTAGGGTTTGGGGTTTAGGTTTAGGTTTAGGGTTTAGGGTTTAGGGTTTAGGGTTTAGGGTTTAGGGTTGAGGGTTTAGGGTTTAGGAAACTGCGGCGGATCTGGCTACCTGCTGTTCATGCCAGTACCCAAGCGAGTTGGCATCGGTGCTCAGGGCGTAGGCGAGTGTTTTGAGCTCTCCCACAAAGCGCTAAGGGAAACACTTCGGAGATGAATTCTGGTGACTGGTGTGCGTCAGTGTCTCTCGTATACTTTACATAGCGCCCTAAACCCTAAACCCTAAACCCTAAACCCTAAACCCTAAACCCCAAACCCTGTTTCAGGCTTGGAAGGGTTTCGTGGGAGAGTCGCTCTTCTCTCCTGTGGGATCGCCTGCCAAATCCACGAAGCTCAGGTGCGTTGGCCCGCCTGCACAAGGCTTTTCGTCATGAGGACGCCAAGCGCAAGACCAAGTGTTAGCAAAAAACGGAAGTAGTTCATGACAGTTCGTGCACTCAACCGGCAAAGGACACCAATCGTCACAATCGTGAAGCCAACAAGATTCAGGGAAGCTACGAAAACCGCTGAGCAACCACTTCAGCTCTCAGAAGAAGCCGGGGGCTAACTTTCTGCATCTGAGCATGGAGCGCTAACACGGGCCAAACTCTGTTGAAGCATGGACAGAGCTGCTTCAAGAAGCTTGCTCTGTTAGCAGTCACCAAGTACGGGTTAACTTCATCGAACTAAGTACGCAGGATTTTGGATAGCCACAGACCCATGATGCAGGCTCTGGAGATTGGGCAGCAAAGCTTTGTCGTAGGCTTGCCACTCCCTGGATGTCTGCCCGACTGTTCATCGCGGATGCTGCAGCTGCAGCGTTTCTCAAAACTCCCGTTTAGGGTTTAGGGTTTAGGGTTTAGGGTTTAGGGAAACCTTCCAGCAAGATTACCAAAATAGGCCTTCTGCTGACGGAAAGGGCAGCTGCACGGTGAATACCGTGTGCGAGCGTGACGACCGCACGTTGGACTCCTGGCAGCTTGTTTGCAAGCTGCAAGGGCGCAGTCGAACTGAAGGATGGACGAAGAGCTTGTAATCCCTCACCCGAATATTAACCCTCCCCCTACCCCTAAAACATATACCAAATTATAACTATAATGGGGGTCTCCAATATTCGGAGGGTAGGGGGTTCAGTATGAGGGGGAAGGGGAATATTAGCTTGCCTACCGATGAGAACGGCATTCCAGGAGCCAAGAGATCGGCATGCGGGAAGCGAGCGACAACAACACGCAGCATTCATCACAATAACTCTTTTCAGTATGCCTCCTAAAGTAAAAGAAAAACATGGTCAGTCATCAGCTGCGTCGAACATTCGATTAAAATCCAGCTGAAAGAAAGTGACGGATGATTCTGGCCGCACAAGGCTACGATACAGGTGCATTCCAGGCATGGAAAGGCCAATGAGCGCAAGAGCGTCCGTCAGGGCTGTCGCCCGTCGTGCCAGGCCAGCATGCACGATGCGCGAAACATCGGACAAGTCCCTGACCTTAGCAAACGTGATTGGACCCTAAACCCGAAACCCGAAACCCGAAACCCTAAACCCTAATCCCCAGTGCCTTGGCTCCTTGAAACTGCCAGACAGCTTGTGCAAGACATCGATGCGAAGCCGACAGACTCTGAGCGCACGACTTTCAGCTGCGCCAGCCCCTGCCATGCATGTTCAACTAGACCCAGGAGTAACCCAGGAATGAAAAGGGTTTCCTTTTTGGTTTTTTTAGGGGGGTTTAAAACCCTAAAAAAAGAAAAAACGGGCCTACTCCCGGTCCTTGTCAACGCAAACAGGATGCAAGCCTCATGTCGCCCGCCAAGATTTGCCGACTAGCTAGACCTCTACTGAGAACCAGTATGCAAAAGTCGGAAAGGAACCCAGTGCACGCTTTGAAGTCCTCGAATGGGGTGGGTCAGCATGCCTAGATGCCTCTTGGGAAAAGTTTGCAGCGGTGTGAACGGATTCGCAAAATTTGACCCCAACAGATCCAACGGCTTCCCGAAATGCCGACGATTCAGGTCTAGACATTCAAAGGCACGTACCCCGTATCCTTTCCATGACATGAACCCTGTGACAACGGGGCATTTGAACTACGAGGATGGGCTATTAAAGCCCTATAATCCCCATGATCGACCCTACAAAGGGCCCTTTTAAGGGGTTATAGGGCATCATAGCCATGGGCTGGTAGGGCGCTGCCTGGACGTGGATCGCGCCGTCCGGTGCCTCCCGCAACAGCAGACCGTGGCTGCCAGACTCGTCGGCAAGCGTGCCTCCCGTGGTCGAATCTCGGAGAGTAACATAGCCCAGGGCCCAGAGGGTCCATTTGTAGTACCATTATGGAATTCGGTACCCAAACACCATACTAAACAGGGTTTTGGGGGTAAATACTTCCATAATAGTACTACAAATGGACCCTCTGGGTAGGGTCAGTTCTCTACAGTAGCTGTCGGTCAATGTCGAGATAGACTAGCTCAAGAGTCTTGGGACAGAGCGCCCAAAAAGGGACTTTAGCGTACAGAGCAACAGGCCATATTCAGATTCAGGCTCTCCCGATTTCAACAAAGCATTCTGCTACATTTGACCACCTTCGTTTTGTTGCGTCGCTCGGCCTTGCAAAGATCCATGAGTTCTGCAGTGGTCCGGATTGCATGCTAGTCGTCGTGAGACTGTTGTCGTGAGACGGCTCACGAAAAAGAAACGAACTTTCACCAACATTGATCTCAGACAGCGATGCTGTGGAGCAATAAGTAACAAAAGGCGCATGCCATTCTTGGTTTAGGTTTGTTGTTTAAACGGATGGCTCTACCTACGACCTACTGCTTTTGGGAAAGCAGTTGATGATACTGAGTCCTCTGGCATCCCTTGGTTGGTGCCATCCCTCATGTGCGCCCACCCCAGAAGGCCTGGGAGCCGGCCCACCCCAGAAACCGTCACGGACATGGCTAGTTTAGGGTTTAGGGTTTAGGGCTTAGGGTTTAGGGTGAGAAAACTAGGCAGTGAGTCTGAGTCCAGAGTGCTACCATGCATGTAGAGGTAGAGTGGTCATCTGCCATGGTCCGAGAGCTGAAAGGTGGAAGGTGTGAAAAGAGAAATCTATGCGGGTTTGTGACAACGAGGGGCAGAATAAGGGCCCCAATAGGGCAGGGATTGTTTTGAGGCTTCTGCCCCAAGATGTTGGGCCAGTGGGTTTTAAGAAAAACTGCCTCGGTTTTAGGATTTACCCCCCCCTTGTTACCCCCCTCCCCCACCCCCCGCTAAGCCCCCCCTCCATGCCTCTCCCCCCCCCCTGCCCCCCCCCCCCTCCCCCGCTACCGTGCCTTGCGTGGCAAAGCGCTTGAGCCTGGGCCGCCTCATTACCGGCTCTCCTGCCACCAGCTCGAGGTTTGAGGATCACAGGGTGTAAGGTTTAGGGTTTAGGGTTTAGGGTTTAGGGTTTAGGGTTCAGGGTTCAGGGTTTGGGGTTCATGGTTTAGCGTTTACTCATAGGGTTTTTGGGGTTGCAGATTGTTCCAGACGCCATCCTGGGCTACCCCAGGGGTGTCCGGGACAACAGCGCTTTAAGTTCATTCCATGAGCCTTGAAAGGACAGGCTGGCTTTGAGAACGAAAGGTAGCAGAAGCAAGCGGCCTGCATTGCCTACCACTGATCTGGCCAGAAGTCCCAAATCACTCAGGTCCGGTGTCCAAAGAAACCTGCGAAGAGGAACCTGCCATGAAGTGCTCCCCTGGAAAGCGCGTTGCAGAGGCGCATGGCACTTGGAGAGTTTCATCTCATCTAGGACTAAGAGTACTGACCTGCACACCACAAACACTCGCTTCCTCCATCATCTTTGGCAAGGCCACCGCTCCTGAGTGGATGAGGTTGCAAGTTGCAGGCAGCCCTGGGTGAAAAATGTGCCGCTCTTGGCAGCCCAGTAGCCATCTATTACAATAAGAGCACCCATTAAAGGGAACCCACAACCAAAAGGAAAGTAAAGGGTAAAGGGTACCACTGGGCTACCAGTGACGCTTGCACAGCTTGGACCAGAGATCTGCTTGCTTCAAAGGTTCGAAGATCGACGGGGTGTTGACGCGTCAGCTACCTGCGCACGTTGCGCGAGCGGCTAGGCGCCAAGGCCAAATCTTGATACTTTTGTATTTTGATGCATCCCAAGACTCCACACCCTATCCAAACCCAACCGTTCCTAACAAAAGACTCATCTGACTCGTTACCAAGAACTAAGGGGCAGAGGTCACCCGACATTTTTCAAACTCGGTGTCTGGGAAGTGCCCGGCTCCCCGCTGGAACTACGAGAGAGATGCCTCGCCTCGAAGAGCCAGTCACGTTTGGGGGTTCAATGTCAGAAAACAAGGCAATTAAATTCAAAAAGTTTGGCATGTTCTGCAATCTAGGCAGCACCCAGCCCAAGTAAGTGTTCTGCAGATTTTTTGGTACAGGCGACCCATTACCATCCCCGTCGTTTTCAGACATTCGCACGTATGCAACACTGACCTATGCCTGGCGCGCTTCAATCGGCAAATGCCACAAGCGCCCACCTGGTCCTCTGCCTCCGCAGAAAAGCCGAGATCCCGTACCTCTCCACCGAGAGAACCAAGAAGCTTTGATCGGGAGAACTAAGACTCCTAAACTAGGACCTGGGGGTAAGTCAGGGGCACGTCCAGTTGGCAGGGGCTTGCAACCGGCTGCTGAGCCAATGGTTCTCAACACAGCTTTCTCAACGGTGCTTTCCTCTCCCACTTTCTGCAGCTAGCATGGCTTTATGTCGATCAGTGGTCGGTTTGGCAGAACACCGCTACAGCATGCCACCGCACAGCTGCACCTGGTCCATGTACACTTCCAAGAAGCTGACCTTCGAACACTCTCTGCTGATAGGGAAAGCTGCACTTTTGTCTGCCGACGTCGATTTCTGTCACTTTTCGCAGCTACAAAGCCGAGCCACGGTGATGCCATCGAGCTCACTCCCATCCTTGGCTGCCTTCTGAGCCTGAGCAGACCAGAAAATATTCCTGCAGATGATCCTCTTAAACCCAACCAGGGGAAAATACAAAATATCCCAAGGGCCTACCGAGAGAAACTTCTTGCAGTCATCTGGGGGGGTGCCTGGGATCATGGCACGAAGTGAAGGCACCCTTGGATGCCATTCAAGGCGCTCACAACGACAGGGCTCTCTGCAGAAGGTAATCCGCAGGAACATCCCTTGTGGACTCTGGCACTTGCGGCAACTAGGGTTTAGGGTTTAGGGTTTAGGGTTTAGGGTTTAGGGTTTACGGTTTAGGGTTTAGGGTTTAGGGTGCTGTAATCCCCATGCTTAGGTCCACTAGGGCTTCGGTTCAGAGTTCAAGGTTTGGGGTTTAGCGCCTCTCTTGGTTCCCTACTTTGACTTCCTTCTTTCTCTCTTTCCAGAGACAAAGATCAAAACAAAAGGGACAAAAACACACACACACACACACACACACACACACTCGCGTCCTAAGCCCTAAGTACTAAGCCCTTCAGTTTAAACCCGGGCATGCCTTAAACCCTCAGGCCTATAATTCATGGCGGTGCCTCTGCCGTGCGGTGTACGGTGTACACCACTGCGCTACCCGGGTCCCCGCCCGATTCGGGTTGTAGAACCTTAAGCCCGAAACCTTAAATAAACAGTCAACTCTAAACCCTAAACCCTATACCTTAAAACCTCCAAAAGCCTTAAAACTTTTGTCCAGATCCCAAGAAGGCCCCTGCATGCCCCCGTTTTGGCTGAGCGAGAAATTTAGGCTTTTTCTGGTTTGTAAGGGGGTTTAGTTCCCCTCTTCGTTCATTACTTGGTTTCTTTTTTCTCTCTCCTTCCAGAGACAAAGATCAAGAACAAACGGGACAAACACACGCATACTCGTGTCCTAAGCTCTAAGGCCTAAACTCTTCTGTTTAAACTTTAAACCAGGGCAAGTGAAACCTTAAACAAGCTAAGCAGTAGTCCTGAACCCGAAAACCTCCTAAAAGCCTTACACTTTGGTCCAAATCCAAAGGGAGGCACCCACAAGGCCGCACTTTTGACTGAGCAGCCCAGTAGGGTTAAACTTTAAACCTTTTTTGGGTCTATAAGTCCCTACAAAAGGCAAGATTAAGTTTTGCTGGGTGCTCGGTACCTGAGTTGGAGCCCAAGTTCGGACCGGAAAAATGTATATCCACCCCCTGAAAAGAGGCTAGAGTTGTTTCTGGTTTTAAGGCTGAGGTTTTACGGTTTCAGATTTGGGTTTGGGGCGTTTGGCGGGTTCAGGGTTTAGGGTTGCTGTCTAAGGTTTTCGTTTTGGGTTTAGGGTTAAGGTCTGGGATTTGTCAGGTTTAGGTTTAAGGCTTAGGGCTTAGCTATTGTGATTTTCTAGAAGTTTCCCTCTTCTTCCAGAGACCAAGACCAAAATGCCCACTGAAAATGTCTATCCAGGCCCCTTTTTGCACGAAAATCCATGTCGGTTTCCTGGGTGGACGAGTTGTTTGCACAGGTGTACCGCATGTTGTTGTTCGTTTCCCAACCGCGGTACCTCGGCTATCCCTGGAGTGCCTTCCCAAGAATTTTAGTGGAATGCCCGCAGAATCCTGCAGAGTATGCCTGGAGTGCCCTCACCCAAAAAAAATCAGGCAGAGAATCCCGCCCGCACAGAGAGTCCTACAACAAATCTCACAAGAGTGACCACCCCAAAAAATCTTGCAGAGACTTCCGCAGGGTATCCCTGGAGTCTCAGAGAATCCTGCCGAGAATCCCGCAAGCAACCCTGGAGTGCTCACGAGAGAAGCGTTCATGCGGAGTACCCGCCCGCAGAGAATCCCGATTCTCTGGGAGGCCCTCAGGGATTCTCCAGGTCTGTGGGTAGGCACTCCACGTAAGGGGGGTCAAGCCTTGAAAAGAAACTCCTGAAGATCACCGGATCTCGATAAGCCTTATAGAATAAAAACACCGCGGGGGTGGTAACCCGGGTTCGCCCCCCCACGGTGTTTTTTCTGTGTCTCCTGGCCGTGGAATGGGCCCAACCCTCCGAAAAACACCGCGGCCTCCAGCAGAAAGGTCACCACCCCCGCGGTGTTTTAGGTTAAGGGGGTGGTGATGGGTTTAGGGGCCCCGGCACATCCATGCAGCAGCCGTTCCATGGCTCGCGGAAGCAGGCCCCTCTCTACCGGGTCATCGTCCTGCCATCAGTCGGCAAACAAGGGACCCAAAGGACCCAAAGCACAAAGCAAGCCATCCGAAAGGTCCGAGATTCAAGGCTCATGCGGCAAGCCGCCCTACCGAATGGCAAACTTCATGGCAACAGGGTGCTTTGAGCGAAGGGTTTCCCGTTTAAGGATCAAGGAATGCAAGGTATGCCCGCTTCGCTTCTGGACTCAGGGCTCAAGAACTAGCCTTGTAGCAGTACAGCATAGCATATCGCCCCTCCTCGCCGAATATCGAGTAGGTCTTGCCAGAGCCAGTCTGGCCGTAGGCGATGATGCAGCCACTACCTGCTCATGCTAGCTCTGCTACGTCCGATGTCCGTCACTTTTTTTATAGGTCTTCCTGCAAGAACCTCAACACCGTTTGCGACACCTTGTCTAGGCCTAGGCACCTAGCGCAGACGTGTGGCCGTGTGGCTACCTAAAAGCTGAAAACCTACAGAAGGTTTGGCAACCAGGCAGCGGAACATGTGACCTGTTCCATAATTAGGACGCTCCCAGGATCTCTAAACTAGCTAGTAAAGCTTTGCTACATCGGTCTTGCTGCCGGGGTTCGTCCCTGAAGGGCGCCGTCCTTGGTCTGAGTCAGAGCAACTAGGCTGCAGCAAGCAGCAGAAGAGCAGAGAGGCCCGCGACATGCATCGATCATGCTGCAAAGATTCACATTAAATATGCACAATGTGATACATCTACATACATACATACATACATACATGCATGCATACATACATAGATATGTATATGCGCGTATGTACACGTGTGGCTAACTGACTAACATGTACGTGTGTATATATGTATACATGTATATATATATATATGTATATAATTATATATATATATGTATATATCCATATATGCAATTGTGTGTATATGCATATGCCGCATCGAAGCTGCAAAAGGCCCATACTCAAGCAAAGTCTTTCAAGTCAGGCTTCTACTGCCTGGCCGGCCACGGGCATGAAGAGCTGCTCCTGTGAGGTCTCTTCGCTGAAGACACTGCTGAACTCGAAGCTGTGCCTGAGCCACAGCACTGACTTTGCTCTTGTGTCGGGGTCTCCTCTAGGACGCGACTGAATCGTAACCCCAGTTCTCAATTCCGAGGGAGTTGGGGGGACATGGCAACCATTGGCTCAATGACTTTCTCCGCCACGTGTCTGTGCCAATGGGCAACTTGCAAGCGTGCTGAAGCCATGTTGGGTTTAGGGTTTAGGTCGTCTACGTGGTCTTGTTGACCTGCCGCAATACTCTGGCAAGCGTCTCCCGGCGCCCAGATGACAACGGGTCCTTGATGGTGACGACACCTTCCGAGTTTAGGAGTCTAGGCGAAGGAGTGCATCTTGCACAGTGCGGACACTTAAGACTGGGCTAAGCCAAGGCCCCATGTGTGAGGCATGCCCACGCATGCCCGCCTTGTCGCTCAGGGCTGATCTCGAACATCTCAATGGTCTGCCTCTCCGGGCTCGTCAAAAGACATGGAAAGCAACAGGAAGTGCCAACTTCTGTTTCGCCAGCTGCTGCTTTAGCCCAGCCTCTCTGCGGGTGGCCGAAGCCGAACGAAGACACGGACCGGAGCAGCGACCTCAAAGTGAGTGGTCAAGATGGCATCCCTGAACCCTAAACCAACCCTAAACCCTAAACCCTAAACCCTAAACCTAAGCCCATGAACCACAGCCAGAGCTTTGCAGTGCTTTGCAGCCCTCAGGTCACCGCATTTGGTCTCGTGCCAAAGGCTGCCATACTGGCCACATTGCAAGAACTGAAGCTACGATTGTGGGCACACTCGCTGAGCACTGAAGACGAGGGTGATGCTTCAAAATTGCTGGCGATAGTCTTTCACGCCCTTTCTGTCAAGGCCGCTGTAAATACCGAACTACCTGAAGCCACACGTAGAACAGAGCGCGCCGGGTTTCGGGATGGAATGCAAGGACGCACACTGAGTCACAAGTTCTGCTGCACAGGAAAGAATGACTTGACAGAACTTGTGCCTTCTTGTTGCACAAGAAGTACTTCAGGAGGCGAAGAGACAAAACGGGAGCCAGAATGATATTGCACGGAGAACTCCATAACAGCAAAGACATCTACTTTTCTCAAGCAGTCGGCTGCTCCCTCGCGCGTTGCCACTTGCCAAGCGCAAGCGGCTTTGGCGACGCTTCAGCTTCCGGGCTGGACATCCCTTCGGCAACTGGTTAACCTGAAGCTCCAAACCCAACTCAGCCAAGCTAAATGTGATATGGCTCGCGTGCTAAGGGGCCTCCTTTGCTCGTGCTAAGATGCAACACATATGCATTGCCATTATATTCCGTCTCCAGAATTGCTAGTAGTTGGACCACGGCGCGTACTCGGCCGTGGGTTAAAGTCTACTTTTTGGGGTTTATCTGTGGTTTTAGGGGGGGGGGGATAAGAACGTCATTCATCTTGCGCCTATGCCCAAGACCCTGGCATTTACAGCGTTTTCATCCCTTTGTACAACATACTGCGCAAGGATGTGGAACAAGACACATTGTCGCAAGCGTCCATGCCTTTGGTGACCATGCCCAAAACACTGGCATTTACAGCGTTTTCATCACTTTGTACAACATACTGCGCAAGGATGTAGAACAAGACACGCTGTCGCAAGCGTCCATGCTTTTGGCGAACATGCCCAAAGCACTGGTATTTACAGCGATTTGCGATTCTGAGTTTAGCGACCTGCTGAAAGAAAACCTTAAGGTTCTTGATCTTTTCACACTCACACATGAGTCATGAAGCACATAAGTATGAATCTTGTGCGAATTCCCAAGTAGTTTTCGCGGGCTTTTTAGCACCCTTTTTTTGGGCTTTTTTTACGCCTGAAGGACGAATATATTGGAAAAACCAAAACGCCGTGCACTGCCCCTCGATCTGTGCATGTCTCTGAACAGCCACGGCCGTGCACGCGCCGTGGACCTAGTAGATAGAGTCCTTGCTTGAGTAACGAGATGTTGGATTGGTCCAGGTGACGGGGAATGCTGCAACGAAACAGCAGCCTTGCCATCTTCAGCAACTATGTGTTCCCAGCAGCATAGTACGTGAAACCGCCCCCAATCAAGTTATTGCCTGGGCCTATGCAGTTGCTTCGGTAGACGCGATTCAAGTCCAAGTCTTCAGCTGCATCCACAAGACACTGAGGATGAATTGAATGCCTCCGACATCGCAAGTCCATGAACAACGATACCCAGCTACTAGTAAGTGCCGTGGGTAGTCCTTTAAAAGACTTGCGCCAATCACCAAATCTTCAAAGTACCCATCAAACCACGAGCAAAGCCGAATGTTTAATGCAAAACGGAGTGGAACAAGTTCCGATCAGCAGACGATGTACAGTTTGCAATACGCAGTCGGCGTGAGGGCCAGTTATCAAATGACGGCATTCACAGTTGAAGACAGATCTTGCAGCCGTAAATGAAGAATAGTGTTAGAGATCGCCAGCAGTATTGGCAAGCCCGTTCGATTTGGCGGCATTGGTCCCTCACAGGCTTGATTGAGCAAGGAACCCCAATTTCAGAATGCTGCAGAACTATCCCCGGACTAATGACGAGCCCAGCCCGCGCAATCTGTGCTATTGGAGCGACCCTCATCGCTCCGGACGTAAGCGATGGGCATGTCCGCCCTCCTTTCACCCAGTCGACCCAGCTATGGATGATCAGACACAGGGGTGTTTCTTAAAATGTTGGTACCCAGGGGGTACCCTAGATGTAGCATGCTCGCCCCTTTAAGGACCTCCAACAAGGGATCCCATGATTGCTGGGAAACCCTAACATCAAGAGGGTGCTGGGCAGACTGAGCAAATGCACTCTGGGATCAGACATGCTGTCCTTCTGTTCCTGCAGCCCCACGCCCCCGGTTTAAAGCAGGTGGCGTGGGGCACACTAACCATTCAATGCGCAAGGCACACACTGACAGACGAATGGCAGACCCGACGGAACTTCTAAAGTCCACGGCGTCTAACCACATAAATTTGACGTTGTTGAACTTGCATTGCTCCTGTAGCTTCTGTAGTTCACTTCTCCGGATGACTATCATTGTCATAGTGACTATTCTGGTTGGTACATCTATCGGATATCGAAATCGTGCATGCAAACACTGCGGTGGAAGGCAGTGCACAAAGCCACACCCTACCCATGCATCAAGTGTCGACACACAGGACATGTTGGCGAATTCTGGTCCGGCTCAGGAGATGGGCCCCTTAGCCGCAGCAGCAGAGGCGAGACCAATGACCACAACCACTGCAAATGCTGCCAGAACAGCTCAATGCTTCGTAGGCGGGCCAAGCATCTACTACGGAACACCGGCTGCAGACTGCTCGGAGCAGTAGACAGCACCTACTCACCGTGGATGGCTGAGGCTTCAGCCGAAACTCTGCATGCAGAAGCATCTTTGTGCCTTGCCAGCATCATTGCACCAACCTGGGCGAAAGAGACACGCGCTTGCAAACCCCCCCCCCCCGGCAAGGCAAGACTATGTAGGAAGTGCATAGTTTCAGGAGCTCCTGGCCCACCACAACTAGTCGCGCATGTTGGTGAAAACCTCTCGCTGAAGACCCTAAACCCTAAACCCTAAACCCCATATTCCTGGGGGGTCTTCCCGGGGCAGCATCCCTGGCCAGGACACAACCGCTCACGGCCGTGCTGCATGGCGTTGGGACTCCTGGACTGGCAGGTAGTTACAGTACAGGTTTTGGGCTTAGGGTTTAGGGTCTAGGGTGTAGGGTCGCACCTACTCCCTACATCGCAGCTGGCAGCAAGCAAAGATACATGATGCTTGCACTCTCTGCAGGGCGGGGGCCATTCCATCACAACTCCACATCTTCGGAACCACAACAGGTGGCATACGTCACAAGCCGGACATAGGATGTAGCATGTAACCTTGCTGAGGTACAATACCCGATGATACTTAGTTGCGGCTTGATGAGAAAAGTTTGAATGAACAGTCTTGGAGCCTGTCCATGTTGAGCCACTCACTTTGATTCATATTCCCATAGCTATGCGTTATCTAAGCCTCTTCATGCTCTAATCAAAAACACGCCTCTTTCTCATTTACCCCTTATAATCACTTCTGCTGCAAGAGCCGCGTAGCACGCGGTACCGTTGTGACAAAAACCCACACACACACAAACCAACCAACCAACCAACCAACCAACCAACCAACCAACCAACCAACCAACCAACCAACCACATAGCACCGCGAATCCTGATTGCTCGGGGTGTCTCCTCTCCTAAACCCAAGCAAAGACTCTACCATTACTCGGTGTGTGGGGTCCTCTTGTCCAAGAAGTGGAGCGCTGCCCGGGAGGCCCATGCCTCCCAGGATGGGCCTATAATCCCCATGTACGTTGGACCTTTAGGGTCTATGTGAGTACTCTCTGGGGGTAGTATTACTACTAGTACTCATACTAGCACACCATTTTATCCATTTCAACAATTTCAACCATTTCAAAACGGTTGAAATGGTTGAAATGGTTAAAGTCCTGGCCTTAGGGGAAAGCCAGAAGGATTTGAAATGGTTGAAACGGTTGAAATGGTTGAAATGGTTGAAATGGTTAAATTTTTTATCCATTTCAACCATTTCAACCATTTCAAAACGGTTGAAATGGTTGAAATGGTTAAGTTTTTTTACCATTTCAACCATTTCAACCGTTTCAACCATTTCAACCATTTCAAATGCTTTGGGCTTTGTCCGGGAGCCCCGGAATATCCATTTCAACCATTTCAACCCTTTCAAAACGGTTGAAATGGTTGAAATGGTTAAACTTTTACCCATTTCAAGCATTTCAACCATTTCAACCATTTCAAAACGGTTGAAATGGTTGAAATGGTTAAAGTCCTGGCCTTAGGGGAAAGCCAGAAGGATTTGAAATGGTTGAAACGGTTGAAATGGTTGAAATGGTTGAAATGGTTAAATTTTTTATCCATTTCAACCATTTCAACCATTTCAAAACGGTTGAAATGGTTGAAATGGTTAAGTTTTTTTACCATTTCAACCATTTCAACCGTTTCAACCATTTCAACCATTTCAAATGCTTTGGGCTTTGTCCGGGAGCCCCGGAATATCCATTTCAACCATTTCAACCCTTTCAAAACGGTTGAAATGGTTGAAATGGTTAAACTTTTACCCATTTCAAGCATTTCAACCATTTCAACCATTTCAAAACGGTTGAAATGGTTGAAATGGTTAAAG